CAATACTTAGTCACTTCCCCTTGAAATCATTTAAGTTTTCCCAGTAAAAATCTCGTTTAAAACGTTTGGTATCCACGAGATCATATCTCAACTCTTATACCAAAAATGTAACACCCTTACTTTATATTACAAAATGAAACAGTAAAATACATCGAGTTTAAACATTCTCGGGCCCGAGCTTTGTATATATTTTTTTTTTCAAACTTCAAACCATAATTTACACCAGAGTCAAAACAGAAAATCGGGGAAGTCCGCTTTATTACAAAATCCACACAACATAAAACATTTAAGGAGTTCGGAGTCCTCCGCCCACCTCATGGCTTCCCTTCACGCTTGAGTCCCGATATCTACAGTATAGACCTTACTTCTGATCTTTATCTGAGGAAAAATGGTGACGAGGGATGAGTCGTCGCTCAGTGAATAAATTCTAAGCTCAGATCGACATCAATACAAAAATAGTATTGGGTAGAAACACCCTAGCACATAACAGGACTTAAGTTGTTTATCACACTTATCATTCCACTGAATCAATCAAGTTCACATGTTCACATCCCATCACAGTCAAAACACATAAAACAGATGACAGACAAAGGCATTTTTCTTATACAATTTCACTTTCAAATTTGCTAAATGATATCCTCCCCGGGTAGTACAGTAGTGGAAAGCTGCACGGTAACCCTGTATAGCCATCAGATAACTGGAGTACCGCGGGACAAAACCCAGTCCGGTACGAACAGGAGTGCACAAGGCACGAAACAGGAGTGCTCGCACCAATAGGAGTATGGCGGGACGCAACCTGGACCGATAGAAAACAGGATTTGCCACGGGATTACCCCAGCCCGGCTAACTGAACAGAACAGGAGTACCTTGGGTCGTCACCCAATCGACACGGTGCGGAGCACGAGCGCTCAAACAGGAGTATTGTGGGGTTTACCCATATCGATACAAACAGGTATCGAGGTATCATAAAGCCCTTTTACTTATTCTTATGTATTCACCTCTTTTCATTAATAGTTCACTTAGACACATGTCAATAATCATTCACCCGTAGGTTCACTTATACACTATAGGCTCAGAAGCATTCATAGTGCTTTTGCACCCTCAATCACAGCAGAATGAAATGTAAGCTGAGGAGCTTAATCCAAGTTATTCAAGCAGAATAGGATTAGTAAGCCTAATGGATTACTCCAAATCTAAGCAGACATGACAGGTTCGCAAGTTCGAATACTTACTCATAATCCACAAAATAAATCAACAAAACCAACCCATATGATAATTTCATTCTACTTCATGATCATTCAACCATTTTCATCATTAGATCACATAACCATGCTAATTCTACAAAATGTCAGTTGTAGAGGCATCAATGATTTGCAGAGGCACAATAGAAATTTGCAGAGGCATACACAAGATCAACCAACAAAATGTCTTTCCATATCCAATCCACAACTCATGCATTTCCAACTTCATACCAGATGCAGATAATGAATATACACCAATAAACCATATCACATAGCCATATCATTTCCCATAAATTCACATATTATACAGGAGCCGCTTCATGACCCCGATATGTATTCGGGCCGCTTCATGACCTGAATACTGTTATTATGTTGAAGTAGATCTAAGATTAGAATCTACTCACAGTTTTGTCTTCACTCGGCTATGCCCTTGCCTTTGGATGAGCCCCCGGCTTGCTCCTTACCTTTATATACAAATTTTCCAGGTTATTCAAGCACCAAGATACGTATAAAGTCATCATAATCATGGTTGTGTTCATGCATGTCGATAAGGCCACTAGGGAAGTCGTACGGTCGTACACTTTACCATGCATCACCATTTTGGTCATTTCTCCCTTGATACTTAGCCAAATCAGTTGATTCTTATTTCTACTGAAACTAGATTCATAGGGATACGACATATCCAAATTTCAGACCATTTTCATAAGCCGTTTCAGCCCATCAATCCTTTTAAGTTGACATTTCAAAACTGTCAACTACTTTCTTTTCACTTCAAATCCAACTCCTCTGCTTCTAACAATTGTTCCTAACCACTCCGAAATCAAAACTATGTTCCAAACGGTCAATTCGAAGAAATCAATATATTTAAAATTATACCAAATTTATAGAACGATCCAACGACTGATTCGCACAGGATCTTACCTCTAATATGCTGTCCTGCTACAGGAAAACAGTATTGCACCCCTTCTATCCAGCGACATTTCTCAATGAACCAGAGATCATAACGATGATCCAAACTGTCCAATCTTAGACAAGGAATTATGGAACACAACCTACAAATATCAGGACGATCCAACGGCTTGATTGTCCGGAATCGTCCTTCTCATAGGCTGTCCTGCTGCTGGATGAAAATTGGCAGCACCCCCTTTGCTTCCTTTTTCTTCTTCTTCTTCTTCTTCTTCTTCTTCTTCCTTTCCTTGATATCCTTTCTTTCTAACTCTCTACTCCTTATTTCTAAAAATGTGGGTGGTGATTTTTGGGTGGTGAAATCAGATGGAAGAAAGAGAACAAGAGAGGGACGTGGGAGAGAGTGAGGGAAAGAGATGAGAAGAAAAATGAGAGAGATGAGGGGAGGGCAGATTTTTATCTCCCCTTCTCTAGAATTCTCCAGCCCCCAAATTGCACATTTGGCCCTAAACTTTTATTCTCTTGCAATTAAGTCTAAAGCTTTCACCATTCGCTTTCTTTTTGTTCAAAAGACCAATTTTTGTAACCCGATCACCAACACGTCATTATGACATAATAATTAGTACGAGGGTAGGGATTTTACATGCATGACCATGAATAAGAGCCCTTGACCGTGAATCGCGAGGCGTCCAGAGCCAATACGGAAGTTACTGATGCAAGGTGAGTTCACGGTCACTAAGACCGTGAACGAAGGCTGTTGACCGTGAACAGAAGAGATCGACGATGTGCATTTTGGCGCATGCCCGCAGTTCACAGATGCGTTTCGTGGTTCACGGCCGTGAACTCAGCTCATCTCTGGTTTAAATGATGAGCTGAAAGGAGGAGAGAGGGGAGAGCCCATTTTGTGTGAGAAGCCTTCTTCAGAATTCTAGAGCGAGAAACACAGATCAAAGGGAGAAAAAGGCTAGGGTTTTGCTTCAAGGAAGATTTTGGGAAGATTTACTCCAAGGAAAGCTCAACTCAAGGGCCAAGAAGACTGGGAGCATCCTCCAAGATGGTTTCCACCTCTTTCCCTTTTGTTTTTCCCACTTCTAGCATGTAGTAGACCTCCTTTCACTTGGGTGTTGTGAAACCCTAACTCTACCATGTAGTTTTCTTTTATGCGTATTGGATGGTTGTCATTGGGTATTGCTCAATTCAATGATTGAGGCATTATTTATCATGATTGTGCATGCTTGTGCTTAGCAACCTAGGGGTTGTGCATGTTTTGTGCTTAGCATCCTTAAGTTTGTGCATTTAGGTGCTTAGCAACCTAAGGATTGTGCATAATTGTGCTTAGCACCCTTAGGTTTGTGCATGTTGGTGCTAGCAATCTAACTAGCCACCTTACCCTAGTTTAGAGAGGAAAATCCCCCTTCCAAGGGAGACTCAATCGAGTTGGTTTTCCTTCTGCTTTCTAAGCCACCTAACTAGGTTAAGTTAGGGCAACCCTCAATGTTGACTTAAGCAAATCGGTTAATTGCGATTAAACCGTCCGACCTTTGAGTTGAGTGAGCGAGTAAGTCAATTACTGATTGTGTAAACCGAGAGGGTCGAGTGACACGGCCTTTCATGCTTACCTCGGCTTAGCAATTGAGATTGTGGTCTTCGACCATATATGCATCCCTCTATTGTTCGCGATTACCGTGCCCAAAGCAATCGTTCCAATTTACATATCATGGTAGCAGTGAGGGGGAAGCGACACCCGAGTGATCTTTACACAAAAGAGTTTCCAAAACCATTTACCTTTGACTTCTTTTATTTCAATTAGCAAACCTTTAAACCAAAACTTTGTTGCTAGATAATGATTTCAACAACTGAACTAGGGGTAGACGGACCAGCCTGGGTCGATATCTAAATACTTGCCCTATACTGCACTCGACTAGAGTTTAAAAAATTGGGCTCTAGTTGGGATTTTACTGTGGTGTAGTTTCTTGCGAGTCAGGGGCTGTGTACATAAACTGAAGGCCGCCACTCTTGTAACCTGCGGATTCTATTTGCAGATTATATGATTGACTCTTAGAGGTTGCTCCTCCTCGTAGATTAGTCTCGACAATCTGCCCAGAAGACCTAGAGTCAACTATAGAAGGACTGAAAAGGTGCCATTGTCATCAAAATGGGAAAAATTACGGTAGACTTGACATCCTTGTAAAAATGTTCGTATTTAAGTCTAGGAAGGGGCATTCCCAAGTTAAGAGAGAATTCCTTGTCCTTAAGAGACGTAAAATTTCTCTCCTCCTTCTTCTTTGTGAAGAAGGTGCTTACGAGAGTCTTCATGGGTTACAAGTGTCCTTGTGTGCTGATGGGGTGTAGAATGCTCATCTATCATTCTACTTTGTACGAGTATTCAAGGTCATCTTACCTGGCCGGTAAAAAAGTTATCTATTTCATTTTCCTCCAACTTTTAAATTTACTTGCATAAATTCCGATATTCATACTAGTTGTAAACTCGTGATTGATATATTTTTTTTTTGGATAGTTTCATACATACAAAATTAGGAATAAGAAACCAAGGAAAAGAAAAAAAAAGATGAGACTCATAAACGGTCCTTCAGTTTAGAGAGGAAATTAAGAGTACCGGAGACTCCTGTCTCCGTCTGCCCTCCCAACACATTTATTATTTATATTATTATATATGATTTATGATTACATCGATAGTCCCTCCCTCACTTTACGACGTCGTCCACCTCTTTCTCCTTCGCTTTACGATCTTCACAGCATGCTGCCGAAACGAATACAAAACAAAACAAAATTTAGAAAACATTAGCTAGATCAAGGCGGCGATTCGATTAATGATATTACTAATCTAATAAGTTACACGTACGCGTTGCAGTTGGTCTTGGTGCTGATCTTGTAAGGAATAGTGACTCTGCATGCAGCGGGTAAGGCCGCAGCATAGTTCTCCTTCAAGCCGGAGATTCCACCGGCGGCAGTTTTCAAGCACTGGCAAGCCTGCCGGCGGTCAGGGGCGGTCTTGGCAGAGCCAGCGAGGGACCTCACCCCGTTGCAGCATGGGGCCGGGACGGGGCCACCGTTCTTCAGGTAGTTGAGGCATGGAGAAAGATTGCCCACCACTTGCCCGCAGCTCAGAGTAGCATCCACCGGCGTCATAGGTGCAACCACCAAGGCGCAGACCAAGAGCATCGTCACCAACTTATTGGCAACACCAGCCATTATTGTGGTGAGACTTGAGAGGATGATGAATTGAAAAGGAACGAGTAGTCGAGGCCTTTAAGTACTCGATCTTCAGTAAAGATTGGAAGCTGTGTGTGAGTGAGTAATGTTGTCCGGAGAAGGGGGTTATATAGGCGATAAATGAAGCATTTGAGAGAAAGGGGTCGTAGTTCATACGATGATGAGTTGGTTTGTTGGTAAGTTGGTGGTTGGACCAGAATACATTTAATACGCTATACTGTTAGGAATCGGAACAAGCTCTTGCAAATTACAATGGTGAAGTATAATACTCTTGAGTGACGTATGTCGCCAGTTAAAAGATCGAAGTGAGAAATAAATACGTAGTACTAGTTATACTGTTAATCCGTTTCCTTCTTTCTTTATTCCAAACCAGTGCAGTCAAAATCGCGCATTAAAACGTAAAAACTTACGTTTTTACGTATGCAGGCCATCAAAACGTTTCAGTTTCTACCTAAAGTCGCTTAGTCACAAAAACTGGTAAAAACATGGGTAAAATCGGTAAAATTGCTTAAAATCGGTAAAATCGCGATTCTGAAGCGTTTTTATTGGATTTTGATCATCTCATAAAAATGTGCTAATTGGTCCAAAATGATGTAATTTTGGAGATATATTAGCAAAAATAAAAAAAGGAAAACATGATTCATCACTCGTTCTACAACTAGTGTCAAAATAGGGGCTTCATATTAGGTTGAAAAGACACCTAATGGTATTCTCAACAGTCGCTGGCCTTCTATCAGTCTTCTCCCTTAATCTTCACATGTGGCTCTTACATGGGTTACGATGAAAGTTTATGGGTAATTGATCGTATGTAATTATGTAAACTCAAACCAACTTATAAGAATTTGGATTCTCAAGTTCGTTTACGGGTTACGAACTACATTTATGAGCTTATTATTAAGATGATATGAGTTTTATCTGCTTTTGAGTCAACGCAAATTAGTTTATGTGTTAGATATTACATTTTAATTATGAATTTCATGTAGTTATCCACTTATCTAAAATCTACACTCACATTTTACATACTATATGTTGTACTTAACATATTTTAGCTATTTTAGAGGGTGCATAAAAAACTTACGATTTTACGCTTTGATTCTACGTTTTACGATTTTACCCATTTTCCGCTTCTAGGTAGAATCGCGTTTTTAACTGCATTGTTCCAAACAATTTCAAACCCAAAACAACAATTAACAAGTTTGTCAAATAACTATTAACCCAAAACGACAATTTCTAACCCAGAACAGATATATTATCAAATCAAATAACCCGTATTAGATGTTGTAGATGTTTGGTCAGTTTGATGAGTTTAATTATGTTCGGTTATATCTATTCGCTAATTGATGTTTATTTTTTGTATAAATTTTATTCTACTAAGCACTATTTGATTTACTAAATATGTGATGAAAATTGTCTCAGAAAAGTGGAAGAAGAACATATGACGTCCACTTTCACAAAGTAAGTTTCCAAATACTTGCTCCCACAATATTAATTAAATCAACACTAAAATAACACATAAAAAAATATATAAATCACATATTTGATCAATTGCAAATTTGGAGCCTCCTTCCAATTATGATATGTTTTGATGGGTCAATAACTGATTGTAAACTAGTTAATTGTACACGTAGTTAATGTTTGGGTCCATGACCATGGTGGAACAGCACAGTGTGAATTATTAATGATTAGCTAGAACGCAGACCAATATATGTAGTGGTAATGTCAACTTTGGCTTCCTCTGCCATGGGTTGATATAATAACCAACGTCAACACTGCCTCTGCACCATCACAATTTCTAAACTAGAGACACGGCGCCATGCAATGCATGCGTGGCCGCTCAACGGCCAGGTGTCGAGAGAGAGCGTGTGGGGCTTACTCTCAGTAGATACAGTATGCTTCCACGTGGAACATCACCTGACAAGTGTCAGTGAATCCAATCACCACGTCGATTTGGGATTTGGTTGTCGATCCCTTATGAGGTCTGACCCACTGATCCTTTGTGTTCCGTCGTCGCCGCGTTTAAACAGTCAGATAGAACGGGCAATGAGATTGGGTGGGTACTGGTGTTAAACGGAATCATAATTCGCTAATTACTAACGAGTTAGTTCAATACCTACAATCCATTACACACTTTTTTGGATTAGGTTGTATGAGTGGTGAATGGCAGAATGGGTATGGTTGAGTTGTGGATTAACATGTAAAAACAACTTTCCAATTAATAATCAGGTAAGCTGAGAAACATTTATAATATTTTTCTCACATATAATAAGATTGCATTAATTTATACACGTTTCAATTTGTCTTAAATGGAGATGTCTAGTATACTTGTATCAAAACTTTCATTAACTCAACAACTAATTATATAGTTAAAGTTAATATTTTTCTTTTCGACTTAGATACAATTAATAGTTTATAATTTGCATCTCAATATCTAATGAACATTACACAACCTTGTGACCAATAGTAACAACCCAAAAATATTCTTTATTTTTTGCCTTTAGAAGTCGATGGTCATTGTGTAGTGTTGGTGAAGAAATACGATGACTGTTATGTAGTATAAACAAGAAACAACTGTTTTCCATGTAAAGATAAGGTGAGTTCATTCGATTGACCATCAACCCACCCATCACCCACTCGATAAGTGCGGGTAGGAGATTTATATATTGATCCAAAATTCACCACATTAATCACCCATCTACTATGGTTTGAGGTTATTTCCAGGTGGGTCGATATCAAAACACAGAATACCCACCCACGTGCCCATCCTAGTTTGGAGGTGAGATCAAGTATTGAAACAACTCAATCGATCCAGAATACCAATAATTATCGAAAAAATTCCTTTAACTAATTGCATAATTTTATTGATGAGATTTAATTCCTTTAACTAATAGGAAAGTCTACTCAGATATCTCTGCTCGGACTAGATTGCTGGAAGATACACTTCTACAAGCTCAAATGGAAGTTTTAACAAAATCCAATTCAATATTAGTAGAGGACTAGAGTAACTGGCAAAAGAATGTAAAGAACTTCAAGTGACTGATGAATTGTATTATAAGCAGAAATCAAGAGCTTATAAGTGGGTGCAAGAGGGTGATAAAAGTACTGTCATTTTTCGCGGTGAAGATTAGAACTCATAAGCAACAAATAATGAGATTGGTAAATGAATAGGGGACGAAAGTAAAAAATATAAAGGAAATTGGAAAAGTTGAAGTGGGGTTCTATGATAAGTTGATTGGTGAAGTAAATACTAAAAAACTAAGTATCTAGGTATTCTCAAGGATATATAGTTAGTCATTTAATATATAAAAGCCTTAGATGTGTCCACTGTTCATTAGTGGCCCCCAAACGCTGGGCTGCGACTGGGCTTTTGCCGTTTGTTTCCTCCTAATTCGGCCACGTTCAGCTTTTCCCTCCTCACAGCAACTCTTCGCCCACCTAATTACCCCACTCGCCGAAAAGGAACCCTGTAGTTTCCTATTACCCACTGGTTAATCGTCTTCCTCTCCCTTCTCGCTTCTCTTCTTCTTTTCTGACACACAAACCTCTATTGGACTCTCCCTTTTGTCCTGTCTTCTCACCCTTCCTGCTCCTCCCTTCTTCACGCCACCCACAACACTGAGACACTCTCTTGGACTCTCCCTTTTAGTAATACACGCAAGCCTCCTCCATCCCACCCACACGCAAGCCTCCCCATCTTCTCTTCCTCTCTTTTGGCCTCCCACCTTCTTTCCACAGCCATAGCTTCTCTCTTCTTTCTTCCTCACTTAATCCTAGGTACAGCCTCCTCATTGCAACTCGATGGCTGAATCCTACCTTTGACCCTAGAAGGCTTAATCGGCGCGGCGGTTCACGAGGGTGCCGAACATCCCTCCGTTCTTCAAAATTCAGTGGCAGAATACAGTTAAGAAGCTCGCCGGGTTGATAGGCGCCGCTGTGAAAGAGGGCAGAGAAGATCCCTCCTCCCTCGAAACTCACCTGTGGAATCCCAACTCAAAAGTTAATCGACTTCATCTCAGGTACCCGCCTCCTCCTTGCCCTTTCTTGGTTGAATCCCAATCCTAAACTCATATCTCTCTTCCACCCTAGAATTTCAGGTCTCACATAGCTTTCTTGACCGAAACCCAGGTCTCGAACTCTCCCTCTCTTTCGCTGTTAAAGAAGAATAAAAACGAGGGGAAATGTTGGCGTAGAGACAGAAGCTGTAGAGGAACTGAGATCGATCGTCTGACCAATCCATCTCGCTCCTTTCGGCGCAGCTTCCCGGAACATACAAATCTCCTCTCATCCATTGTTGTAGAACACCCATCTAGCTAGGAATCCACCCATGGAATGGGATGGAATCGTGTTTGTAGCCGTCAACGGTGAGTTGGTGTGATGAAGGGAATGGGAGCACCATCAAAGCCCTTTAGTTCAGTTTGTTTGGTCGTTGTTTGAATTTTACTTATTGGGTTGTGATTGTTATAGGGTACAGAATGAAGGACAGTCTTGCGGGGAACTTTATGAGTGGTTGCTTAGAAGCTTCAGCTACAGCACCTATGGTAATATTTCTTTCTTTATTAGAAGCTTATTATCATTCTTGCAAAGGGATCTGGTTCCGGAGTCCTCTGAAACAAAAGTTCACAATGTTATGCTTACTGATTCTGCTTGGAAAAACAGTAAAGTACTTTCCAGATGATCATGGCATGCTTATTGATGCAAAAAACCGAATCCGTAGATTTCTTGGTGGGTTTATCAAAACCAAATTTTAATATATAACACTCAAGCAAATACTCGAACCCAGAGATTTGTAGTTTCAGATTTGCCAAAAACGAATCTCCACAAGTTCCCACAAAAGCTTCTGGAACAAACAGAGTTCCAAGCAAGCCTTTTTTTGCAGATTGATAATAAATTTTCCTTATTTGTGCTGTTGTAGTTAATCTGGAGCGCATGATGGTAGCCATGGATTTGTAGTTTAGTTGCCTAAAATCAAGTTCCAATGCTTT